AGGGTGTTTGCATCAGATTCATCATTCGCTATCAGGTAATTGTGAAATTGCTTTAAGCCATAACAACAACACTCACCCCCTCCCTCATCCTCCAGTTCAGTTCCTCTCCTTTAAAGTCTCTGGGGTCATGACCCACCTGGAGGCCAAATATGTGGTATCTGGTGTACTGAATGATCTGATTATATTTTTACTAGCAGAGCCTTCAACTCAATGTGCAGTTCTACTCCAAAGGACAATTGGGTAACAATCCACTTTACAGACGTAACTTTTTTTGGTATGTGAAGGACCACAGTCACCTATTTTTCTCACTAAAAGTGGGTAGTATTTACTGTACTTACACACTGCAAGTCTTCTGGAGCTATAAGGAAGCTGGGCTGTGGTTCTTCTTGAACATCCAGTGCATGTTTCTGTGCAGATCTTTTGAAACCTGGTTGACCGCACAGGACAAGATTATTTGATTGAATTGACAGGACTTCCTTGTGAGTTCAGCTTCTGGGGTTGAAAGAGTCATCAGAATTTCCCTGGGTCCTTCACTGCATAGTTAAGCAATGCGGTGCTAAAATGAATCATCTTCGAAATTTTGCTTTATATTACTTCCATTTCTATCTGCCTTGATGGAAGCTCACAGCAGTTGTAGTTTTGTTTTCCATAATGAATGCCCATATTTAGTTTTTTATTTAAAACTATAGCATTAATACTTCTTCACTTGTGGTCCGTTTAGTGGAATTTCATGATGGCCTTGTTTGTAAGGACCCAGACTGAGATGCGAGAGCTGCCTTCCAGCTCTGTTTTTAAGGCAGCTCTCAAACTCCAGCAAATCTCACAGTTAATCCTCCAGTTCAGTGATGGGCCACTGCAGAGAAGACTTCAAGCAGGCTTAGGAAATCTGCTTTGAAGAAGCATAGCAGCAGTGGAGATGTGTTGTGTAGAAATCATGATGCCTTAGTATCTGGATCTTTGCAGAGAAGGACCCCAAGAGTGATAGAGCCTGGAGCTGCAGGTGATCTGAATGTTAGGAAATTATCTTCTTTTTTTTGCTGCAGATCTAATTTTGAAATTATTCAATATTAATCGTGTCTTTTAGTCTCTCTATAGTGAGTTTAAAGGACGTAAAATAAAAATTGCCAGAGTATAGTGGCAAAGTTGGTGAGGTAAAGAGGGGACACGTGGAGAGTGTCAAACTCAATCCTTCTTCCATGGCAGGGTGGGGGTGAGGATCTTGCTATACATATATACTCTGCATAATGCACATATTAACATCCTGCAGAGTCCAGTCCAAAACAGAGCTCAAAATAGAAGTAGGCTACTTAAGAATTACACAAGTATCCAGTGCTGCAGGTTGGAATACTGTATTACAGCTATGCAAATTACTCGTCGCTGGGAATCCAAGCAGTTCTGTGCTGAGCTAGCCGCAATTAGTGTGCATGTAGATGCAGAAAGAATTATTTACCCCCAAATCAAACCTCCTGCCCATTAGAAACCTGTCAGTGTACCCAGGTGGGCTCTGGCGTAGTTCGGTGCAGTGTGGCTGGATACAGGACAGTGAGGGTGAACACTGATGTATCACACTGATGTATCAGTGTTGGCAGGAGAAAAACAGGCGTGTGAGATCAGGGAAGAGCTTCTCAGTCACATCCAGCTCCATTTTCTTTCAGACACTGTGCCAGATAGTCTCAAGAGCACTCAGCCTGGGACCATCTTCCCCGCATCCCTGCGAGCCCTCTGGTGTGACATTAGATTTGCAGAATTTTAGGAAAAGCTTGTCTTAATTTCACTCTAGAAAGCAACAGGGTTTTATTTATTTTGTTTTATTGGGTTTGTTTTATTTTTACCAAATGGCCCTACATAGGAACGTAGGATAGACTTATTATTTGGATAACTTTTTTTAATAATGAGCATTAATTTAGTTATATGAAATCATTGGGTTTGGTCACATTTAAATGCAGATATACATGATACTTGTCTTAATAACAGAAATGGTTTTTTCCTCTTTTTCCTTCCCTTTAAATTTCCGCCAATTTATTTTTCCCCCAGACTCTTCGCTGCCTCCTCAAGCCCTCTCCGCCTGCACACACGGGCGCGTTTAAAGCGCGTTACGCTTCTGCCGCTGCTCTGGTGCGCTCGCTGCGAGCTGCCTCCCGTTTACACTGGGAGGAGGAAAACGAAGCGCTTCCTAATTGCACCAGGCGTTTAGGGGTGGATTCAAAAGCAGAAACACTAAGGCATTCATACCTTACATTGGTGCCCCTGGCTTTTGGGTGGGCTGGATCAGGATGGCACAACCCGAACCGGCCAGCGGCTTGCTGTCTGAGGGTCTCGCCAGCTCCCCTCCCCTGCGGAGGGAAAGCCTCCTGCTCCTCCCGCTCCCCCCCACTCCCTTGAACTCCAAATGAGGCCCAGCTGCCCTAATGGCCTGGGGCAGTGTTAGGAAATCAGCTGG